TTGAGACACATGCCTCAAGTTCTGGGCTGGAGTCCAGTTTAAATGATTACTAACTTCGAAGGAACTCTGTTTCCCTAAAAATAAGAAAGTCATACTTGATGTCTCTATTATTATACACTTTTATGTATCCTTGATATATGTAAAAAGATCACTTTTTGAGATGTATGTTATTAGTATCATGAGTTCCTTTAATTTATTGGTGCAGACCAGACAGTTGATTAAACACAATAAATAGCATTCTCATTCTGCTCTTCAAAGTATGATCTAGTTACAGTATGTTTTTATTTGTGTGTCAAAAAAATGTATTTTACCTTTAATAAAATGACTATTACAATTTCTTTGATTAGTCTAAGTATGTAGAATTCAAGATCCATAGAGGCAATAAAAACATCATGACTTTACAACCCAAAATAATACAAGTTGTAGGTTTTTCGCCGTAAAATTGTCAAAACCACTTTCAGAAGGGTACTTATATAAACTCTAATTCACTGTACAAATCAATTCAACTCAATTTTTTTAAAAAAATACTAAAGTAAACAATTCACATAACCTTCTTTGTGCCAACCAAATGTCATTCCATTTTTTGACAGATTTGAGGTTGAGAAAACAAATCGTAAACAAAAATGATCGTTCAGCGTCATTCCAACCGCTTATGAAACATGTTTCTTTGCTTTTAAAACATGTTTGACGACGATGAACACGGCCCAAGGTTACTGGACTAAGTAGGTTGCATGGTAACTTTCGACCAATCAGCGCGCCGCGTGCAACGGCGGCAATTACGTCACCCAGCGTGCCACTTCAAACGTACATGCACCAAATAACATTGAAAAAGGCTTTTGAAGGGGACTGAGAATGCTAAATCTACACCGTTTACCACTTTTTATATTATCATACTTGAAAATTAACCAATATAAGAATGTATTTGGCTACATCAGTAGTAGTTAATTGATTTGTTATTTTAAAATTACGTTAGCCGTGATTCATAAATTCTGAAAATAAATTCATCGTAGTGATTGATGTGGGATGTGGTCATAAAATGGTTGGCAACAATTTTGGGCTTGTTTTATTTCTAAAAGTAATTTTTTGGTAATGGTTGAGCTCCTATATGTCATAAAAAAGGGTCAAAGTGATAATAAAAACCAACACAGATTGGTTATACATTATACCTGTGTGAGAACGTTACACAATTACACATGTCTGGCAATATTATATTAGTAACAAAGCTAGGATTTAAGCATAAAAATACATATATAAGAAATACAAAGGGGGAACATCAAAAATAATGTGTTTTTTGCTAAAAATTTTAATTTACAATTTTTTTAAATTTTTTGAAAATTTTCCTGGATTGTTCAGACGCCTTTCTTTTCTCTGATTTTCTTTCTTCATTTTCAAGATTGAGAAATTTGATTCTTATGAATATCCTCTGACGGCAAAACGATTTTACAAGTTCCCTGGGGACCTCTTTAATATTGTCACAAATATATTGCGTGGTTTTTGTGACAATTTTCTTTTTATCACTAAACGTTTTTTTATGCATCCTTTGAAAGTATTCATCCATTTCTGTGACTTGCTGCAACCACTGTTCTGATGGTTGAATTAAACCTCCAAACGATAAACTCTGAATCCAGGAGGGCATGCTATAATTGTGAACTGATGTATTTTCTTTGGTTTCATACGTGTACATTCCCAAGTTAGGGTGCTTTGCTTTGTGCTTCTTGGCCAAATAACCAGCAATATATGCAAGCCCATCTTTCTCTGATTGCTTCCCATCTGATAAATGAAAATCCGTGCTACTTGAGGATGTACTACATTCAGTTTCAACTTTATCGTCACATACTTGTTGCAGCTCGGCTTCTGGTATAATGATACGATTAAGTTTAGCTTGCTTAAAAGCACTTGCCAACAAATACTGATCGTCCAGAATTCCAGGGGAAGTTCCTACGTTTGAATGAGATTGTACTAATCCAGGATTTTTCCCAAGTAAAATCATTCTAATTCTATATATGGCATTAAGCGGAGATGGGTGGTCGTGCAGTCCTCCACGGGACCTTACCTAAAATTACAAAATACATGTCCTTAAAACTCGTATAATTTTTTAACAAGTAAGTCTAACCAAAATGCATCTTCTCCTTGCAACATATCAGTAATAAAAATACAAAAACTCATAATTTGAATTCAAAAAATTACTGAATATTTGCTTTGTTAGTAAAACTGTTTTACCAGAAATATACTTACTTGTGAGAAAAAATTTTCCAAACAGTCTTGATTCAATTTATGCGTAGTTATATATTTAATATCAAATTCCTGTTTCATGCTGGTATACAAGCTTTGCACCGATTTTGTCGATATTATTATGCCCTTTTGAAAAACCTGGAGAAAATCTTTTCCAGTGCATCGCATTTCGGTAACTGTGGACAACATTTGATTCAGTACTTCATTCTGAAGCACTAAATTCGTTCCATAAGGTCTTTTTGTTGGAAGAGAACTTGTTAGAGCATATGAATTCATAATATCAAACCAATCGTTTATTAATTGGAAGAAATCACCTGTTTGTTTAGCTGCAATTTTGTCATGTCCTGGCAAGTACTGTTTTAATGCTGTGGCAACGGTATTAGAAAATAATTGAGCTGCTAATTTGACGTTCTGCCTCTGAGTCCTCTCACAGTTCAAATGTAGTAACCTTAGTTTGTAACAGGAGCTAATTTCTGATTGGGTGCTGTCAACTAAACATTTTACTGGATATTTACTGATTTTTATATTCCCAGGTAAAATAAAACCAGTATCTATAAACCAATTTCTTAGCAGCTTTAATAAATGTGGGACATCGGCAAAAAAGTAGACAGGTTGTTTTGTCACGGGGTGCTCGGAACTAGTGTTCTCTACTGTTATACCCATTGCCTTCCACAGTCCTTGATTCCCACTACCACAATCGGACACACATGCAACGTTATACTGAATTTTATGTAACTCACAAACAACATTTTCCAACAGATCTTTGGTCATTTTTTGGTCAAAACCTATATATACTGGCTGTTTCCAGTTATCGAATAGCCCTCTTGCCATTACTACTTGCATGTAGGTATGTGGTCCCATTATTTCGTCATCTTTTTCGCAGTATTCAAGTAAGGTCGAGACTTTAACTTCATCGAAAGATAACACCGTAGCTTTAAACATCTTAGTTTTTGTTTGACCTGCAGTGTACATGATCCGTAAAACATCTTGAAGGATACCACTTCTTAAATTTATATTGGCAGCCCACTGTTGCAGTGTTGACAAGCCTGGTAGTGGATAGTGCAGTGATTGCCTTAGATAAATATAGGAACGTTTGCTGAAATAACGAATAGTGAAAGCTTTAGACAACTCTTCTGTGCTCCAACGCGCTTTGCATTTATTTTTTAAGACGATTTCGACTTGATTTGATGTTAGAAAGTCTTTGAAAGCCAGCTTTACCCTCTCCTTAAAATTAATTTGATATTTTCTAATATCTTCCTCGAGTTTAGTTATATGTGCTTTTAAAATGTTCTCATTATTCTCATAATTGGAAATTTTCTGTTTAAGGGATATATTCTCGTTCTGTAGTTCCTCTAATTTTCTCTGTAAAATTTCAATACCTATTTCTGTTGAGGTGCTAGGAACTTCAGAATCATTAATAATTGCAGTATAATTAACTTTAGACACTTCTGTCGATATGGGGATTATCTTCGATGTCGTACGGATTAAATCTTTTACTACCGATTTATTTTCTTTCTGTAACATACGTTTACTCCTTTCTGATGTCTTATGTGTTTCTTCCTGCTCAAGTAAAAATACTGAAGGAATCGCTAAAAAATAATGAATTTTTTTTATTGACAAGTACGCTGTTAATTTAGAAAATCTTACCATCTTTCTTTAGTTTTTTGGGCTGAATATTCAACAGCCTCGCTTGCATTTCATCTTCAAAATCATGCTGCTTAAAATGCTTACTGCATACTCTCTTATTATCAGGGTTCCATTTATCTTTGCGGTAACACTTTCTGACCCACTCCTTTCGAATCTGACTGTCCTTAGGAAACGTAAAAAACATCAAATTCTGTCCTTCTGCTTTTGCCTTTGCTGAATTACTTTTGCAAGTTGACACACTACAAACCGTTCCACCAGGCATGATTAATAACCTACAATCATAAATTTATATATAATACATCGGTAAATTAATATTAATACTCCTATTTATGCGCAAAGATGTAAATAAAACTTACTTTGAGGTTGAGAACACAAATGATGTATGCCTCAGTTTATCGACCTTGTGCTTTCCTTATGTATGTCTCACTCCACTCGGATTTTATGCAAATAACGCTAATAACTTTCACTTGGATCTTTTCTTTTCATATAAAAACAGAATATAACACCTATTTTATTCACACAGCGAACAAATTACGACAATCTGTGAAACTACAAAAGAACGGCGAGTAAACAAAACGGTCAAAACGCACGAAACGAATACCACAGTTCGGCAAACGGCACGCTTGATGACGCGCTGTTCTCCTCTCGCCCCTCTTCGTCAGTGCTGTTACCAGGCAACCTACCTAGTTTATGGACCTTGAACACGGCCATTACCTGCCAGTGGGAAGGTCTCGTATATCTAAGGGGGTAGCGACATAGTCTTGCATCTTGGACGCTATTTTTATTCGAAATATCAGTCGCCAATCCTGCCAGTTTTTAAAAAAAATGCACAAGCAGTTTTTTTAATTAATATTTTTATAGTGTTCGATATAAAATATTTAAATGTAATCCATTATTCATGATTTTACGTATTGTAAATAGAATACATCGTATGTCTCAACCGTCAGATCTACCAAACCTGCCCACTGGCAATTCATTTGTTTGGAATGCCTAATAGGGAAACCATGGTATGCGTAATGTCACCACAGTAACCACTATACTGTAACCAAGTATGTTGTAGTAAGCTTATAGAGAAATGCCTTATATCTCGAATCTCGTTACAAATAGATTTAGAAGAAATGATAGGTGTCATTTTGAATGTCAGAGCTGTCAACATCAACACTGTCAAGTGTCAAACCACCTGCCGCACATTTTTTTGTTGTTGTCACCGGTTCGTGCACCGGTTTTACAATTTTTATTGGGATATTCATTGTTGCGCTTTTTAAAAACCCATTAAAAAATTATAAAATGACTACTATGGCAGTTACTTCTTCAACACTTCTTCCTTTGGGTAAAATAATTGATAAATATCTGTTATTGTTTTTAATTAATTATAATGCAACATTTTTAGAATTGGTGGACAAATGTATAGGTTCAAGAATTCATATAATAATGAAAAATGATAAGGAAATCGTTGGTACCCTCTTAGGATTCGACGATTTTGTTAATATGTTATTAGATGATGTTACTGAATATGAAAATACACCAGAAGGAAGGCGTATTACTAAACTTGATGAAATTTTGTTGAACGGCAATAACATAACAATGGTAAGTCATGCCTGTTATAGTTTACGAATCAAATCAATGATGTTGTTTTTACACTTAGATAACTCTTATAATTTAAAATTAAACCCAGCAAAGTTCAGTATGTTGTACTTTTTACCAGTATGTATTGTTCAAGAATTTCCCTTAAACTTTGCAGATTTAGGAGTCGTATTTGATTTAGCACTTTCTTATACTTACGATGTCGATGGTATCCATCATCATCTAATAATACATAGGGATTCGTAATCAGAAGTAGTCATGATTTTAAGAAAGTAGATACCATAAAATGTCTATTAGGCTTTTGTCCATTCCAACCTTGAATATGGGTCACTTATATGGAGTCCACTGTATAAAGTGCACATTAGTCGATTGGAAGGAATTCATAGACTATTCCTAAAATACTTCACTTTTAGACATTGGTACCCACATGATACTATTAACTAAAATGGATTCCCATGTCTCGAGATAAGACAAAAATATTTTTATGTAGTTACTCTGTATAAGGTCATAAGCAATCAAATAAACTGTGAATGTCTACATATATGTTTAATTTAAAAGTAAAATTTCCAAAGAAACAACAAAATGTTCTCACCTCTTCTAGTATTACCCTTGATTATTTGATGAATTTTAATTCTTTAAAAAAAAATGCATAACAATGTAATGTCAATATTCTATTGGGAATCCAATTTTAACTTTTATTTCTCTTATCTTTTCATGTATTTCTTCTCATAAGTCTAATGTAACTCATTGCCCAATATTTAGATATTTTTTATTTTAAATACTGCATGTAGGGGCAGGGCCGCTGAGAGCCAGATGAGGTCCTGAGACAATTTTATAAAAAATTAAGCCCTTTTGATAACACATTTCTAAAAAAAAATCCTCAAGCAAAAACTTGGATCCTTTTTAGTGAAATCTCCAAAAAAACGTCCTCATCTTGTATTTTACATAAACCAGCGCTCCTCTCTTTTGTAGCGAACTTCTAAAAAAATAAGACGTCCTCACCTAAAGCTGCCGGGCCCCCGCCAGTCCCCCCTCTCGTCGGCCCTGTGTAGGGGAATAAAAGTTTGTTTTTGAAACCGTTTCCAAATCTCATTGTTATGGGAATAACTTTATTTTAAGGTAGTTCACTCGTAAAACGGCTTTTCTTAAGAATTCCATAAAATTGAAATATAAGGTTAATGAAAGTGTCTTTTACGTTACTAAAAAAGTTAAATTTCTGACTGCCTGTGAAACGAGATATTAACAATCAAAATGTACATAATTAACACTCTTGAAGCCTGTCATGTACACAAGCAATGCATTTATTTCTAGATATCTCGGAAACGGTTCTTACTATATTTTTTTTTAAATTAATGTAATGTAAATCAAGAAATATTGGTAAAAAGATATAGATTTTTAAAGCACTCGAGGCGTAGTTGCGTAAAATGATTACAACTTGGCAACATTGTAATCGCTAAACTTAACGCGTGGTAAAAGAATACACTCGATCAGCTAAGAGGTTGTTATAACTTTGTGAGGTGTTCTTGAAAAATTAATTCGTCTGCTGTATTTGAGAACTGGAATCAGCGGTTCTGTTTGAACCAAAACAAACCCTTAAAATTAGTATGAGGAAATCACAAATTTCTATAGCCCACTATTCATATATTTGCAACGTTGCCGGATGAATTTTATATATAAGCTTACGTGTGTTGTGTATAGTCTCGTATAAAAATATATATTTTTAGCTTTAAGAATCTCAAACTTTTGGTATTCACCATTATGTGATATTTTTATGTACGACTGCCACAAGTGAACTACCTTAAATTACTTTTTGTGGTATGCTATAGAAAATAATGTATACATTGACATATATTTATATTATCTTGTCTTGTAAGAACAATAATATGATCCAAGAAATAATGTAGATTTTTGTACAGTCTTCAACAGGAGTAAATTGATGTCATATCATTTGACTAAAAGCATTGAGATAGAATGAAGCAGATGACATAAACACTATTTTACGATATGACAAATGAACGCACTTAGCAGTGCCAAGACTGGCAGAAAAGTGTAATCAGAATGGTGACTTAGAGTTGTACTTTGATTTATATGAAGTCAATAATTTTATATTTGAAGATTGACGAAATGACAATGTTTTTATATCATTTAAATGAATCTATTTAATAAAATGGCATTTTTTCTCACCAAAACTGACTAGCTCCACAATCTCAAGTTTGACACATGACGTAAAAATGTAATGCAAAGGTATCGTCATAGCATCTCCTCTTAAGTCTATCTCAATGGTTAAAAGTAACATTAATTACTTCAGTATTAACCCTAAATCAATATCACTGATCTATTTGACAGAACTGATACTTAAGTTGTCCTCCTAAAATAGTACAGTATCCGAAGTAAGGTAGATCTTCACTCATCTGGAAAAGTGCAAATTTCGAATATTGAAGACAACTCAAAAACGGATAAATAGAAAAACACCAAATTTTAAACATAATATTAAGCTTTAATCCATCCTGCGGTAAGCTGATTAAATTTTGGGCATAGTTGAAGCATCTGGGGAATACTTTACAGGAAGTCGTTTTTTTTTTTTTTACTTTAAGAAAATAATTAGTATTGACCCTATTTTCTTAGGCAATCCATTTGCGGTATATTTATAAAGATATTTTATTTAATAAAAAAACTCCCCTGTTAAACAGAAGGGTGAAAGTTGACCTTCCTTCAGATCTTAGACCAAAAGTAAAATAAATTTGTTTTACCAAATTAGTGGTATTGTTGACTATGAAGACTAGTCTTCAAAGTGTTGACATTGACTCATTATATAAAAATTATAGCGGATTCGACTGACTGCATTAATGCGCATTTAGTTCGACTTTTTTAAGTGGTGTTTGTTCGACTGACAGAGCCTAATTAATTAAAAGTCAATTATTGCATTCGACTGAAATTGCTCGGTATCAAGGTATAGTGAAAATTTTGTTCGACTGGCAGGCGCTCTTGCTCAAAGTTCGAATTTTTTTGAACTGTACTTTTGTTCAGTGCCAGTGTAATTTTGGAGGTTAGGAATTATTTTATATTTTTAAATATATTACCATCTGTTTCTTTATTATTAGTGATAATGGAAAATCTTTGAAATTAATAGAGCTTTAATTTTTGGTTTAAGAACTATAAATAAATATCGTTAAAAATTTGTTAGTAATTTGAAATGGCAAGTGCTAACTGTGCCAGTCAAATAACGATAAATATGCGCTACACTAATGTCGAACTCTAGCTCGCGCTTACTGTGTGCACTGCTAGATATAAAGTTGAATTATAAAAATGCTGCCCAAAATCAATTCAGAACTAAAAGCGCTTTGTCATCGAGCAAGAGTATTTGAGTCGAATCCGCTATTAGCTACATGTGCATTATACTTTGAAAGATGTTTTAGCTAGTAATGAGTAGTGCTTCCTTGTTTTAGTGCTGACAATTGAGCAAGCAAGCAAATGTTTAGATTATACATCATTATTTTAATATTTTTTGTTACAGCTTGTCCCAGGAGGAGAAATGCCTGAATAATGATAATTAGATGATTAAATTAAGATGTAAGCAGATTAAAAAAATACCATAATAATTTATAAGTAAAATACATTTGAATAAAATTTTGTGTTTATTTGTAATAAATTTAGATTTGGGAAGGTGTAATTATTAATAATAATTTAACTACCAATATAATTTGCATTGCATTAGAAATTTTTAATGGGTTCTACTCAATGTAGACTTATTGAAAATGCTTTCCAGTTATGTATAAAACGGGTTCCTTGCAGGGATTTGTACATTTATATTATAACCTATAAGATATTCAGAAATTTAGCTACTAGAAATTAAATCCAAAATTTTCTGTTCATTATTTTTACCATTAGTGTTACATACATGCTTATCACTGCATTTTTTTTTTTTTTTTTTTTTATGACAGGATTAATTATAGTAATAACATGATTAATTACAACAATAAACAAATTATAAATTAATCATAGGTAAATAAGTTAGCACCTAGGTGTGGGCACCTGTATGTGCTAGACAGACTAAAAAACTAATACATAAAGATTAAAAAACTAAAATATAAAGTTAATGTATTTTTATATAAATGTTAAATGTAATAAGGCAGCAATGTTATATTATATTAATTTTCTTTATTTAGCTTTGCTAATACAAAAATAGTACAGTTTTTAAAACAATAAGTATAGTTTATACATTATGTATAGTGTCTAAAAATGAACAGGAAAAAAAAACATAAATTATTAGTGTCTAACTATAAAAAATATATATATATACATGTAAAATATAAAATTAAATTTATATCTACAATTAAAATCTCTCTATATCTACAATTAAAAAAATTTTTTTTTTTTTATTTATACCCTTTGTGTCATCATAATATAGTTCTTAAGTTTACATTTAAAATTATTTAATGAGGTAGCATTTTTAATTTCAACTGGTAATTCATTGTAAGCCTGCAGACCCTTGACAAAGACCGAATTTTGGGCACTCCTACTTATAACATGTCGAATATGAAAATTAGTCCGATTTCTTGTATTATAATTGTGAAATTGAAAATTGTAATCTATTTTTTCAAGTAAGTATGAAGGCATCATTTGTAATTTAATTTTAAAAATAAAAATTAATGTTAGGTAAAGAATGTAATTTTTAACTGACATCCACTCAAGATCCTGTAACATTGTTTTTATATGAGTTCTTTTATCACAAGAAAGTATTATCCTCATTGCCCTGTTTTGAAGTTTCTGCAACCTATTCATTTCATTTTGGTTTAGCAAATATAAAATTGTGGCACAATACGTAAAATGGGGCAGAATTAAACTATTATAAAGAAGCTTTAAAGACCATTGGTTAAGATGTTTTGAGCATCTATATAAATAGCTGATTTTAAATGATATTGTTTTAATAACATAATTAGCATGTTCTTTAAATAGTAACATATAGTCAACTATGACACCAAGATATTTAAATTTTTTAACAACTTCAATATTACTATTTTCTATATTTACTTTTAGGTTACTAATATTATATTCTTGATAGTTTTTGTCATTTCCTATAATCATGAACTTAGTTTTATTGTTATTAATTTTTAAAGAATTAAAACAGCACCATTGAAATATTTCTTTTAGTGTGTTATTTATATTTTCAATTATTTCATGTAAATTGTCTGAAGCAAAATAGATCAAAGTGTCATCTGCAAATAAGATAATGTAACAGTTTCCTGCGACACGTGCGATATCATCAATGTACAAGAGGAACAATAATGGTCCTAACACACTTCCTTGCGGGACACCTTGTTCATTTTGGATTTCATCTGATGTAATGTTGTTAAACTTTAGCTTCTGTTTTCTGCCATCTAAATAATTTATTAACCACTGTAATGCATCATCAACTATTCCAAAACTTTCTAATTTACTAATAAGTAATGTACGATCTACAGTTTCGAATGCTCTTTGTAAATCAAGAAATAGAGCACCAGTAATTAATTTATTATTTTTATTGTGCTTGAAGTGATCTAGGACATATTGTATTGCTGTTTCACAACTATGCTTTCCTCGAAAACCAGACTGTATACTATTAAATAGATTATTTTCTTCTAAGTAATGAATTAGTTGATTATATACAAATTTCTCTAATACTTTCTCTATTGTACTTAGCATATTAATCGGTCTTAAGTCTGCTGCTCTATTTGAATGTGATACTTTAGGAATTGGTATGATAACTGAAGTTTTCAAGGCTGTAGGAACTATATTCTTTTCTAAGGAGGTGTTTATGATATTAAGCAATGGCAACGCTATGTTTGCAAAACAGTTTTTTAAAAAGGACGCATTTATTTCATCCGAACTTCCTTTATTAGGTAAGTCAAAAATAATTTCTCTCATTGTGTCAATGTCAATAAAGTTAAACTTCTTAAAAAACACATGATTATTCTTAGATGCTACAGGAAGATTTCTATTATTACGATTTATATTAGAAATAATTTCTTTTATACTATCAATATAAAAGTTGTTAAGGGCATTGGGGATCTCAATTATATCTTTTATTATAAGATTATCATTTATCTCTATTTCCGTTAAGCTATTTTGTTTATTTTTAGGCAAAAGGTCTTTCATAACTTTCCAAAGTTTAACAGAATTTTGTTTATTTTCACTTATTTGTCGTTCATAATATTTACTTTTTTCTTTTCTAATAACTCTAACTGCTATGTTTCGATTTTGTTTGTATATTTGCCTATTTTCTTCAGTTTTGTTAGATACATAACTTTTATAATATGTAATAATGTTATAATCTTGTAATCTACAGGGTTCCAACATATTACAGTGAGAAGTGTGTTATTCTAAGAAGAATCTATACAATTTTGAGTAGTTTTGGTAGATGAAGGATTTGCAAGCTTTCTTAAATAAATGTTGTTTGTTAATTAATTTGATCTCAGGAGGTAAAGCATTGTAACACTTTGGTCCTAAGTAATTTATACAATTTTTGAAAGATTCACTATTAGGCATAGATATTTTAATATTTAAGTTACTAAAAGTTCTGGTTTTGTGTTGATGACCCAGAGGTTTTTTTAGTACCTCATGTTTTTGTATGTAACAGCATATTGTGTTCATGTATAAACTTCTAACATTAGATATTGTTTCATTATATAGTAGAATAGTAGGATATAATCGCTGTTTGTTGAAGATAATTTTCAGTATTTTATTTTGTATGACATTTAGTGGTCTAAGGGTTGTTTCATATAGGCCTCCCCATACTAGTATACCATAACGTAGAATAGATTCTACCAAGCTAAAATATAGGCTTATTAAGAGATTTTGGTTAAGAAATTGTTTTAAAAGATAAAATTTATAGATTATAAATCTAAGCTTTTTTGATATATATGCTATATGAGAGTCCCATTTTAAATGTTGGTCTATAATTATACCCAAGTATTTAGTAGTTTCTGTTTCTTGTATTTTAGAGTCCAAATTACTGGTAACTATTTCTTTAAAATGAGGGCGATCAGCTAATGTTTTAGAGAAAGCTATATAGTTCGTTTTTTTGATATTTAAGGATAATTTAAAAACGTCTAACCAGTTTTTTACATGTTCAATTCCTTGTATGGCTTGCATTTTTATAGAATCCCAATCTTTACTACTGAAGACGAGCACAGTATCGTCTGCATAAGAAATTACTTTACCTTGAATGTCAATCTCAGTCAAGCCTTTGATGTATAAGTTGAATAATATTGGCCCTAAGACAGTACCTTGAGGTATACCAATTTGTACATATTCAGGATTACTAAGACTATCTCTTATTTTAACTTGTTGTTCCCTCTGAGTCAGATAGCTTTCAAAAACTTTCCATGCAGTGCCTCTTATCCCATTCTTTTCAAGTACATCGAGAAGTTTTTGGTGTGGCACTGTGTCAAAAGCCTTTGCTAAATCCAAAAAGGTGGCGATACATTTTTTATTGTTGTTCATTTCTTCAGCTACATGAGATATTAGTGCATGCATAGCATCACTCGAATTAAGACCCTCTGTAAAACCATATTGATGCTGAGAAAGCAGATTGTTAATTGTTAAGTATTCAATGAGTCTCTCTTTCAAACATTTCTCAAATATTTTTGCGATATTACTAATTGGCCTGTAATTGCCTATTAAGTTTGGGTTACCGGTTTTATAGATCGGGGTTATAATGGATTTTTTAAAATGTTTCAGTACAATCCCAGTACAGAATATTGTATTAATTATATGTTTTAAGGGAGTTACAATGAACGGATGTAATAGTTTTAAGTGTTTTACTGATACACAATCAAATCCAGGGGTACTGTTGTTCTTTAGGCTATTTATATATCTAATTGTATCATTGTCACAAATAGGTTTTAAGAATATTGACTTAGTTTTTTGTATATATTTTTTAGTACTTTTGTTTGTTTATATGACATCCAGATTTCGATTCCAGTGGGCTATCATGTTGATGCTGGTGTGTCAGTTAGGTACTTGACACTATCAATCATCTGTAAGCCCTTGTTCAACACAAGCTCTAGTTTCAGAGCTTCAAGAGTCACTTGTAAGAAGGCAAATTATAATATATTTACACTTATAGCAGGGACAGAATTTGGAAAGGCTTTTTGCAGTTCTCCCACTTTATACACAAATTGACAGTTTTGCAGCGGAGCTAACCGAAGTGGACGTGATACATTGGCGTACAAAATTATTTTATAGATGTTAACAATTTTTGGTAAATAGTTTAATAAACTGTAAATACCTGTTGAAATTTGGTAGAATTATGATTTGGGATATTATAATACTCGTTTAATATTCCAATCCATAAATACATGCGTTTGTCCGGTTTCGCCGGTAACAATTTATAATTACTTATTATATGAAACGACAGTGGCAGATAAACATCACCATGAAATTCTCAAAGTGTCCGACGTGGTTCGACGTTTACCCCCTCTCCACCTACCAAAAACTTTTCCAACTTCTACTCCTGCTATACTCTCTCTAATGTAATATCTACCCACTACATATCTCTGACTTTTAGTATTTTTTGACAATAAAAATGATTAATCTAGGATAAAAACAATATTAATATTTATTTTTTTTATTTATAAAATTTCTATATTATATAAATATTTTTTACAACAAATTATACATCTCAACCTTATATAACAAACTCCCTAATTTGTACAAATATTAAATACAACTTACTAGATTTAAAGCAAGAATTAAATTATGCAAACACATTTTATGACTTAGAATTTTTCTTTAATAAAAAATATTTTAGAAATATTTACCTTAAAAATTTTGAAATTGTGTTCACTTAGATAATAATCGCATTTAATTGTGCAAAATTCCATCCACTTTACAACCAATTTGTATACAGTGTTTTGATTAAACAAAATTAATTCAGATGATTTAAAGTAGACAAAAATTGAACTATAAATAAATATAAATAAATAAAGTGAAAGTAATTAAATATAATTCAAAAATAAATTAATATTATTTATTGAACTGCTCTGGGGTTCTTTTAAAAAAAAATTAATTGTAGCAATAATAGTTCTTCATTCATTCATTAGTTACAATAAGTTACTTTTTACATTTACTTTCATCTCTTGTAACATTCTCAAAAGAATATACTCAATTTTTATTTTTTAAACTGCATGCAGTTTCATACGTCACTTTTCAGAGCATGCGGATGTACCTAATGTAATTGAAAATATAAAATTCATTCTAGACGTTCTACTTAAAAAAATTTGCCCATATCATGCCAACTAAATTTTTTCAGAACAGCCGTGCAATTCAATAACTAATTTAAAATATTGGTTTTCTCTGTAGAGAAAATGCTTTTATGACATCTTCAGAAATGACCCTATTAACTCATAATGAACAAAACGAAACAATGTGTATCAAAAACGATACCATCTCATTAGTTAATAAATAAAAGTTACTATATTCAACTGTAGCATTATTTTAATTTTTTCCTAACACTCTTGAAGGGTTTTCTATTTTTATTACTGATTACATAAAGTGTTTCAAACTCTTCCATTTTTCTTTTATGATTGTGGTCTTGTCTAATATGAACTGCAATTTCAGATATTTGGGCAAAAGCTTTGTCACACTTGCTACAGGCAAATGGTAAAACGGCTGCTTTTTGTCTGTGACTTATTTCATGCTCTTCAAGGTCGGTGACATTTTCAAATTTCATGTTGCATTCAACACACAAGATGAGTTTGTGGAATTTCTAAAAAAACAAATCATGTACAAAAATTATTCAAAGGGCTAGATTCTTAAGGCTGTATGTCACGGAACTAAATTGAGTACTAAATTAAGTTATTTAGTTACTAAATTTAGAACATAAAATAATATTTACTAAAATTTTCAGTTTGCAAGGGTACCAATTTTGAGCAAAATGAGCACAGAAATGAAATGTTCTGTGTAAATTAGAGAAGCATTTTTATTATGAAGTTGACACTAGTTGACTTGACAGCAACCAAATATAGCAAATGCCTTTTATTAAAAAGCATGAAAAAACTATGATAAATCCAACTAAATCAAACAAGCGAAATTTATCTAAGATGATGATGATGCGAAGTTGTCGCTAATCAAAACCAAAATGGTACAGACAAGCCCTTTGTGTCAATCAACTTTTTCTGGGGAAAAGCTTCTGCTCAACATTTCGATGCATTTTTAGTACTAAATTTAGTATAAAATAGAACAAGTTCTAATTAATTTATTCTTTTAGTACCTAAATTTAGTACTGAATTTTCTGTTTGCAATGTGAATTATTTTAATTTTAATACTAATAGATTTTATTGAACCTTGTTGCCCAGGACATAACCAAATATCTAAGTACATTAAAGTTTATGTTTTGTAATCAAACTAATAAAATGTTATTGCTAATTTAACAACTAAAGTGACCCATATTTTGAAAAGTAAGAAAGCGGGACAAATCGAAAACATGGATATTTTTCTAATAATTTTATTTGTAGTTGTGATGGTAGGTTACATTTTAAATTTTTCCATTTATTACACTTTTATTTTAATTAGGCAGTTGCTCGTTGATAAATAAATAAATTGAGACTAGTGGTTTAAAATCAGGACTGTCCCACCTAAATCGGGACGGATGATCACTTTAGGCAAAGCCATTGTAAATCAAATAAATTAATATATACTGAGATTAAATCTGTCATTTCAACAGCGACAAAAGATTATATAACAAAAACAATTATCTAACTTTACCTGATAATGTTTGCTTAAACTGCTCCCATACTGATAAGTTAGCTTGCAAAGTTCACAGTCATACCAGACATCAAAACTCCCTTTGCTATGTGCTGTTCTAAGATGCTCAGTCAAGTACTTTTGTCTGTCAAATCCAGAACCACAAATGTCGCATGCCACAGCATGAGTAATGTAATGGTCCATAGTATTACTCCTTGTATCAAAAATTAATTTGCACACAGGACAATGCAGTCCTTTGCTGACATTTGTTGAAAATTTACATTTATATTGAGAAATTACGGTATTACCTAAATGCATAGTCTCATAATGAGATTTTAGACAGTTTAAACACCCATAACAATGATTACAAATTTCACAGGTGTAAGTATCAACAACTGAATTGGTTTTACTTAAACAAAGAACCATTTGTAATGTAGATTCTCGGACTTCATCTGGAATAGGTATGCTAGGTGGTTTAATTGGTTTTGGTGAAACGACCGGTTCTTCAGTTTCATTTTCAATTTGAAGAATTATTGTTTCCTGAAATCATCATTACAATTATTCCTTATACAAAATTCTCTAATAAATTGATTTAGATTTTTTTATTTCCAATTATTATTTATATGTAGATACCTATATTATCTTCCTTGTAACTATTAAATAATGACATTTGAAATACTAATTCTGTAGTGTTCTTATTAAATAAACAACTTTATTATTATCATAAAAAATAGAGTAAAATATTAACTATTATACATTAGGTAATAATAATTGTTAATGTGTAACTATGTTTGTATATTACCCCAACTTCATCATTTTCATTCATTATAGTAAAAACTGGAGAGGAACTAAGAAAAAAAGGCATCATTGGTTGAATAATATCTTGGCCATCTGTAAGTTCATCTTCATGTTGATATTGTATATCAAAATGGGTATCTGCAATATCAACATCCAGATACTCTTCTTTAATGTACACATCTTCATCATCATCATCATTGGTTTGTACTTGGTTTTCATCATACACATATTCTACAAGTGACCCCAATTGTGATAAACCATTAGAATGATTAGATTCAGATTGGTCATTTAGGTCTTGCTCATAAATAACTTCTGGCCTTATAAAATCTTCATCATCTTCTAAAAGTATATGTAAAAATATTACAATGAATTTTAGAAACAAAAATATTTCAATTCGTTTCAATAAAATTAATATTTGAAGAAGTGACAATATGTTATAGGTAGGTATAATAACTATTTTATTACCTTCAATATTGCCTTCAACACTACAATCTAAGGAATGTTCTGCCATTTCTGAAAACCTAAAATTAAGTTTCGAAAATTTAATTAGGATTATGAATAATGCATACCTAACAAATTTCAATTATTATGATGATCAATTTCATTTATGTTAAATATTTCAATAACGAAATGGAACTCCTAGCATTGTCATTGAAATTAAATTGTTAAAATAATTATCTTTAGATAAAAACAGGATACCAATTAATTTACAATAATAAAATGGATTTTGTTAAACTACACATTTTAAAAATATATTTAACTGAACAGGTATGGTGTATAGAAACCTCTATCATATCGATTTATAAAACTGTTTAATGTACTTACGTTTGGTTCTACCAAACTATTTAAAGACAAGCTATTTTAGATAAATTAACATGAAAAATTAATTTGCCAACTTTTATGTGTCACGTAAAAATGAAAATATCGACATGTTATTATATTATTATCAAACAAATGTCACAAATTATATTTGTCATTTGTCAACAGTGTTATGACTACAACAAAAGGTGTTTTCCAGCGGTATTCTGGTTTGAAAATTTTTCGTATGTTTGGAACTGAATGTTTTCCAGCGTTGAAACGGTGACGTCATTAAGAACCGGGTTTAAATTAGGTTCTTGAAAATTGAACCGTGCTTTACTAGACGCAGCATGGAGGCAGGGTTGGCAATCGTACACGGTAATTACCGTACTTGTACGGTAATTTCTATTAAAAGGTTTGTTCTGGTTCTCAAAATGAAAACTGTTTTGAAACTGCGCCGGACCGTATGCGTAAAGGCAAAAAATCCCCGACTGTTTGAAATTGTTGGAAACCAGAACACGTAAAGGTGTTTTGTTTATTATTTATTATAATAATGAAGTTCCTTTTGAAAGCTCAACTTCAAATATCATTTGCATGTATATGTTTATCATTATCATCACATTTCAATGGAATAAATAAAAACAGAATAATATTAAAAAAATAATAATTCTAAAATTGCTTTAATTTACAAATAAAACAAGAACAAGAGACATTCGTCCACATATAAATAAACAATTTGGGCATTTGGGATTGCATACGTTTCGTATGGTCTAAAAAGCCAATACAATATTCATAACACTTAAAAAACACATGCGCGGTCAAAACAGTCCGAGTCGATCCACACTCCCAAGCATGAACACATTTTGACTATTTACAACAATCACGGATTGGATACGAAACCAGAACACTGGACTGAGAGATCCGAAGTAGTCTGTAAAATGTATCTCTATTCATCCTAAATAAAGAATAAAAATCGGTATCCAAATAGTTCTGCAGCCACTGTTCATAATAATCCGGTATTCTAACATGAGGAGTATTAATGTTGTTTAAAATTAAACATAAACTTTCAATATCATCACTATTAATAACAAAAATTTTAATAGTAATAATCTGTTGTGTTAACTCATTTTCAAATCCATTTCAACTTCAAACTTCAACACAAAACAAAACAATTTTTACAACGTCATAGGTTCGAACCTTACGATTTCCAGCGTTCTGTTTAGTGACGTCATTTTGAATTAAGTTTAAAATAATGGTTCGAAAATATTTCACACTGGAAAACGACTAAAGACTTTCTTTAATGCTGCGTTTGAGAATCCACATCGGATGCATCTGAGATGTAAAAAATCTTTGATCACGTGATTCAGTATACGTAAATGTAATGGGACAGATGTGACCGATGTGGATAAAAAAAACGCTCGAGATGTAAAAAATGCATCCGATGTGGATTCTCAAACGCAGCATAAGTAGACTGAAAATTTGTATTTAAACCAATGAACTGGAGTTAGGTAGAATGCTTGCCAATAGGCTTTAGATGCGACTCAATGGTCGCAGACAGGTTATTTTTCATTTCACTCGGGAGTATTTATGCCTCGTTTGAGAATCCATATCGCACATACTTTGATTTTCTTTTACTCGCACTGCGCCGCTTTCTGACTGCCTTTTAAAAGGAGATAGAAAACTCCGCCATTTTGAACCCTTATTACGTGTTGCCTACATCTTGGCGCAATATTTTTAATAGGTGCGTTTTAGGGTCTATTTATACTCCCTTATTATTAGTATTTGCATTAGTATTATGATTAAGCATTAAGTTGAACCTTCACAATGTAATGGGAACATTTATACTCGATTTATGATTAGTATTAGCATTAATATTTATGCTTAATAATTGACAGGTTCAACTTTTAAATTAAATATTAAATTTCTTCTTTTCTATAAAATGAATCAATGGTGTATTTGGCCTTTGTTTTTAATAGACAACGGATAAGGATAATTGACAATACACATATGATTATGTTGTTTATTTGTTTGTTCCAACAAGCTCGAAAACGATAATATTTCGGTACAAATCATGCTCTATATACAATTTTTGTGTATCAGCAGTGTTTACTGATTATAAAGTTGACAAATGACATGTCACCATGAGGAAGCAAAGGACTCTTTTCTGTCTGATTTGTATCAAATTTCTGCTTCTTTTTATCTGTTATAAATTTCAGACTTAAATCCGTTAAAATGTCCTTATATAAACCTATTTTTAAATAATATTAACTAATTAACTAGTAAAAATATTAATAAAAACACATTTAAAACTCAAATATCTTAAAAGAACACAACCGGCCTCTTACACATTTCTTCAGTAACCATATATTTTGTTGACTGTAGAATTATATCTTATTAGGTATTAGGTTTAAAAAAGAATTACTAATACTAATTATAAAACGAGTATAAATACCTTTTTTGAATGATTTAACAAATTTAATGCTTAATCATAATACTAATACAAATACTAATACTAAGGGAGTATAAATAGACCCTTAATCATCCGCTTCTGCTTCGGAATTGTCGGTTTTCTTGTTTTAATCTGACAGGTTAGAACGACTGAACCGACAATTCCGGAAGCAGAAGCGGATGATTAAAACGCACCTGATATTTTGCTTGCTGCTGTTGGAGTCACAGTTTATTGCTAAAGAATCAGTTAACTCACTCGGACCAGTTAAAAGTTCCAAAATAACATCCACTCCAGGGATACAAATTCAGGATACGCAGAAGACTGCTGTTTTATTATAGGCGGTTGTCATATATTGTATTATCTGAACTGCGCAGTGTATAAACTGGAACATTGAGATAAAAAGTGCCGACGCAGAGCACAAAGCACATAGAGGTTCCACGTGAATGACCAAGGTCAAAACCGACAACTGACATTTTTTATGCTATTTGCTCCAAACTCTAGATGGGGCTACTGGTGAAATTCTGATTTCTTACTCCATTTTTAAGCTTTATGGGAGAAAAACTTAACCAGACTCCAAAGATGTGACGTGTATTTATTTATGTTTTTGGTTAATCTCATTTTTCCGTCTGATTTTAGTGATTTTTTGTTGGCTTTGGCTTTTGGTTTCTGTTTATAGTTTCGTCTTAGTTATTTGCAAAATTGTGATATTTCGCTTTTCTATTTGCTACTGTGTTTTGCAATAATTTTGGTGCTACCTGTGGGTGCTACGTTGATAACTTCGAGAAAAACTTATTGATTTACCATGCATCTGCATCATAAAAAGACAAACGGGTACAACAACTAATTGATAATCAATTTATCACTGGACTAGATTCCGAAATCATTTTTCACATAAGAGAGTAATACACAAAGCAGTGGAGTAATACCACTATCTGTATTTGGAAGGCAAATACCTATTTATCATTGAATGAATAGTTAAAAGGATCCACCTTTTAATACCATACCTATATTACATTTGTCCTCGGTTTAAAAGACATTTATAAAATATATTATTTTAGTGTTAATAAAATGTAGTATCCTAGTCTCTACTTCACATTTAAATTATTGATAGGTATTTTAAAGATTTGAGATTGTATACCTATTTGCTGCAAGTAAGTATTCGTTAAATATGTATTATTATTTGTATTTATTTTTTTCTAATAATATTTATTTGTTATTAATAAACATATTTTAAGAATGTTCTATTTTATTATTTATTGATATATCTTATATTTATTTAATAATAATATGCAGAACCAACTCTCCACATCAGACCCCTGCTTATAACAAATTAATTTCTCAAATTTGGTATAATCGACCTAAATTATTTTGTAAAATAAAAGTTTCGAACTTACTAGTTCCATACTTTATTTTATAAAATAATTTATGTGGAAATCATTTAAAATTAATTTAAAACTACTACCTACTCCTAAAAATTACAATTTGAATTTACCGCCATCTGTCAATTGTCATTTTAGTTCCAGCTCCAAACACAAGGTGGCGCTAATTTGGTTTAAAAGTTTACCATTGGCGTGGGGTCTCTAGAAGATACGTGCTTTGTGACGCAGAGTGAGCGATCTGATTCACAAAGCATGTATCTTCTAGAGACCCCACGCCAATGTTAAACTTTTAAACCAAATTAGCGCCACCTTGTGTTTGGAGCTGGAACTAAAATGACAATTGACAGATGGCGGTAAATTCAAATTGTAATTTTTAGGAGTAGGTAGTAGTTTTAAATGATTTCCACATAAATTATTTTATAAAATAAAGTATGGAACTAGTAAGTTCGAAACTTTTATTTTACAAAATAATTTAGGTCGATTATACCAAATTTGAAGAATTAATTTGTTATAAGGGGTCTAATGTGGAGAGTTGGTTCTGCATATTTTTATTAAATAAATATAAGATATATCAATAAATAATAAAATGGAACATTCTTAAAATATGTTTATTAATAACTTAAATAAATATTATTAGATAAAAATAAATACAAATAATAATACATATTTAAGGAATACTTACTTGGAGCAAATAGATATATAATCTCAAATCTTTAAAATACCTATCAATAATTTAAATGTGAAGTAGAGACTAGGATATTACATTTTATTAACACTAAAGTTATATATTTTATAAATGTCTTTTTAACTGAGGACAAATGTAATATAGGTATTGTATTAAAAGGTGAATCCTTTTAACTATTCATTCAATGGTAAATAGGTATTTTCCTTCCAAATACAGATGGTGGTATTACTTTCTTATGTGAAAAATGATTTCGGAATCTAGTCCAGTGATAAATTGATTATCAATTAGTTGTTGTCCCCGTTTATCTTTTTATGATGCAGATGCATGGTGAATATATGGTGAATCAATGAAGTTTTTCTCGAAGTTTTCAACGTAGCACCAAAATTATTGCAAAACACAGTAGGAAATAAAAAAAGCGAAACATCACAATTTTGCAAATAACTAAGACGAAACTATAAACAGAAACCAAAAGCCAAAGCCAACAAAAAATCACTAAAATCAGACGGAAAAATGAAACTAACCAAGAACATAAATAAATACACGTCACATCTTTGGAGTCTTTGGTTAAGTTTTTCTCCCATAAGGCTTAAAAATGGAGTAAGAAATCATAATTTCACCAGTAGCCCCATCTAGAGTTTGGAGCAAATAGCATAAAAAATGTCAGTTGTCGGTTTTGACCTTGGTCATTCACGTGGAACCTCTATGTGCTTTGTGATCTGATTCTTTAGCTATAAACTGTGTCATAGGGTTCAAAATGGCCGCGCCCTATGTTGGGCGTGTCGGACCTCTCTCTTGCCCCGTATAGTAATCAAAGTATGTGCCACATCGGATGCATCTGAGATGTAGTAAATCTTTGATCACGTGATTCAGTATACGTAAATGTAATGGGACAGATATGTCCGATGTGGTTAAAAAACGCTCGAGATGTAAAAAATGTATCCGATGTGGATTCTCAAACGCAGCAATAGAAACGTATGATTTCTAATCAAATGAAACTGATGACGGTGAACACGGCTAATGTAATCAGCTTTTTTAGTCGTAATTTTAAGTAATACTTGGCTGTTCCTAAAGTAGTGGCGGCAAACAGTAAGAATGTCTAGGCAGAACACAGTAATAATAATCTGTAAATGTAATTGACGCAGATGAAAAAGTTTAAAATTTTTTTTTACTACACTCTCCTTTGTTTGCTTCATCATCTGGCTATTTGTAAAAACAAAGACAAATATTTCTACACTTTTTCAAATATTTGGCCTCGATTTAAATACAATTCTGCTCTTATCATGGAACAATACTGTTATAAATCTCAGTTGTCAAAGTCAAATCTGTTTCAGGGCTGGTATATCTAAGGGGGTCGCGACATAGGAGTCCATTTTGGACGCCATTTTTTTCGAAATAATAGTCACATAGTAGTCGCCATTGATCTGGCATCGTGGCAACTTGTAGTCGCCAGGTTTACCAATATAAGAAAAAAAATTGTCATTTTTTAAATGACATTTCCATTATAAAATGCCCATATTTTTTAGGATAAAATATTTCAATTTAATAAATTATTAATCTCAGATGTACATAGAATACGTCGGGAAAAGTAGATCACATTCAATTTTGTGTTGTTTTGGTTTTGTTTATTTTAAAAGGTAATTGAAGAGATGAAGACAATTTTCTTATAGATGATGCATAACAAATTATTGCTCCCTTTTTTAGAGCTCCAGTCCCTTAAGTCTATTTATTTTAGGTCTTTTAAAATTGTTGGTAGGTATTATTCACTTCATTTGTATGTTTTTAGTTAATTTAAATAATTTTGTGTAATATCTTGCGATTTGTTTTCTATACATTTTAGCATGTATTTGTTGTCTACATCTCACAAAGGATGGCTTTGAAATACCTTTACAACAGAGGTACTTTCCTAAAACTGGCCGAAATTTGAAATTGAATACAGTTCTTAGAGAAAATCTCCAGTAAAAAATGTCTACATGCAGAATAACAGCATAGATTAACAAAGCTGACAAAAGAGTTGGACAAACCTTTGTCTAGCTTTTTTAATTTTTCAGGACAATAGTGTTAACAGCAGACTACAACAAAAACATCCAAAGTTTAGTAATCAAGCAAAATATTCCAGTATCTCCAGGATTATAAACGTATGAAAACTATAATAGAAAACATGTATGGTTTCAAATAGAAAATTAGCATATCTAGTGAACATTGTATTTAAAGAATATATTTTTATTCAAAACTTTTGTGCTTCTACTCCAATACTAACCATATAGAATCATATGCATTTTATAGTATTTGCAAGATTCGGATCAAATGTACCCACAATTTATAAAGATTATTAAACTAAAATAAAACATTTCAAATAACACCTGCTTTTATGTTAAATATGTTTTTATTAAATACACAAATTAGTCTCAACCACACATTTTTGTTTGTTTTTACTTCTAGTGTAAAAGTGACTACTAATTTAGTCTTTCAAGTTTATTATTTATAGAGACCAGCTACTACAAAATATCTTATTGATGATAACTAATTTCTCTTTAATAATGGTTTTGTCCAACACCTTTTTTACAATTTATCCCAAGCAACACTATAAAAGATTTAAATCCTGGATTTACAGCATTCAGTTTCGAGATGCGTGCAGTCACAATGTAGTTTAAGATATAATTTTCACATGAACACTTATTTACCACAGCACAAACGCATGTACCTATTCATGTAACATTAAAATAAAGTGGAAACAAATTGCATAATTTGGTATATAAAAAAGTACAAAATGTTTTTAGTTTCAATTCGACATTGGACTAGGACTACGAGGAAAACAGTGGTTCATTCCACTTGCACCATATTGACATTATTATTATGCACGATGCTCGTTCAAACGAACATCAGAAAAGTGTTGCCAACTTAAGCTGACTACTATTTCCCCCCTAGCCTCAGTCACCCCCTCATCTATTTACTGGGTCTATGTCGCGAGCCCCCTTAGATATACCAGCCCTGATCTGTTTATATTAATTTTATGATGGTTGTCATTATCTGTCAATAGTGTCAATCGTCAGTTTATTCATAGCAAGCCAAGATGGGGGCAGGTTTATTGTGTAGTGTTGTAGTAAAGTGTGTTTTTGTAGCGATTTTTTCGTTATAAAAATGTTTTTCTGTTTAAAACCGTGACAATAACATTTGTGACTCATTTTAATGGGATTTTTTCACCATCGTCGGGCTTTAAGGTGAGCATTTGTCGCTTTTCAATACCCACATACAATGAAAAAGAAAATTCAGATTCAGTTAATTAATGTTTATAAAAGAAATACTTACCTTTATTAAATGGGTCGCACTGTGAATCATCTTTATTTGTATATTTTGTAAACTTCTAGTTTATATCACAGTAATTTATTTGTCTTTTTTATTAATTCATTGTTAGGATATGGAGATAACTATAAAAATAGAACACTCCTATGTATAACTTATTAAATCGTCTTTACTGAATCTGTAATATATAATGTCATATTTCATTTTAAACCAATTAAATTGCTAATGTCCAACTTGGTTTTTATTTTTGTACCCATTGTGAAATAAATCCATTAATCAACATAAAACCGCCGGGAGCACGGCCGGGAAATAATTACTTATCCTTCTCAGAAACAATTTGGATAATTATGTTTTCTTAATTTTTATTCAGCAATTAGGTATTAAAAATATAAGTAATGTATAAAAAAAATGAGATAAAAAAGATAGATATGTCTGTTATTGAAAAAATACCTAAAATATCTATTTTTTTAGGTATTTTTACTCGCCTGTATCTGTTTATTTGAACATTTTCACATTAGTAGCATCTTCTAGTTCTGAGATAAAGAAATCTTCAATTCAAAATTGTCCTACCCTCATAAATGGAAAATGAATAAAACTCCTTCCTTTATTTTTTAAAGACTGCTTATAACAATGTTCAGGCTCATAAACTTTTTGCTTTTTGGTGATATTAGGTATACTTACCTATTTAACAAAATAGATCCTCTGATTTTTACTAACTATATTTTTGGAAAATGGTAAAGCATGTATCCCTTTGTTTTATTGAGATTTAAAAATCCCAAATAAAAATTGACCCACCCTCATAACTGGATAACAACAAAACTGTGTTTCTTTATTTTTAAAAACTCCTACTTAATACTAATTTTCACATTTGTAACCTTTCCAGTTTTTGAGATATTAGAAAAAGAAAAGTACACTTATGTTTTTTAAATAGGTAGGTACTCTTTTCCCTTTTCACCACCCTAAACTGGATTTTCAGACAATGATAAAACATTATTTTGAAATGAGAGAATCTAAATGATAAAACACGTCTTTTATTAATGAAAAGACATGCCATATAATTTTGAGAAAAAAATTAAATGTAAAAGTGGTCAAGAGGAATCTCGGGAAATTATTTTCTAACTTCACCTCTAGATGGCTTAATGTTTGTGATAAATTGATAATAGAGTGGGTAATCAAAAATTGATTAAAATTTCATACATATATTACAATTTTCTGATTTGTGACACAACATAATCTGACTTTTTTGAAAAAATATATTACCAGTGACTATGAGCAATGCACACCCTAATGTCAAAGTCAGGAACTTAAAATCAATTTTCAGTGATTTCTAGGAACCACTTTTGCAAAAAAAATTTCAGATCCCTTGTATAAACGGTTTCTCAAAAAAATATGGCCAGTGTTTTTTTTTATTTGGAGACCTGGGACCTATTTCATAAAACTACTTTGCAACTTTTCACTTGCATTTTGCATATTTTAATAAATTTATGTTTCATAGAAGAGAATTTAGACGAGCTAAAAAGTAAAATTCGGAAAGCAATTTGCAAAGTGAATATGAAAAATTAATAACCAGCAAAAATAACTAATATTATTTTATGAAACAGAAGTATTTTACACTTGTAAATTTGCAAAGTACAAAGTGAAAAGTTGCAAAGTAGTTTTATGAAATAGACCCCTGGTACATGGTATTGGTTTTACAATAAGTATAGGATTAGGGAGGGTCAAATTGGTCACAACTTCAAATTAGTGTAAAATATACATTGTGTTCCAAAAAGGCGTAATGTTATGATTTTCGATTTTTTTAAAATGCAAGGATTTAAAAATGTAGTGTACGCAAGCAGAGCCACAACTGAATTTCTCATATTTTGGTATGCCATAATTTTTAGCTAATTTATTGCTTATTAATAACTCCTATTTTAATTTTATTGCTCCTTCGCTTCATTAGAAAAACTGTGGTTTTGCTAGCGTAAGTGGATACTTTTTAAGCCAGCTTGTTTTAAACGATTTTGAGCTCTTTTGAGAGATCCTGGTAATAATGGTACATCTCGTGCTTTCCAAGAGGATTTTATAGTCAGAGAGCTAGTAACACAAATTTCATTAAGTGTTTGATGCACTTTGAAATTTTGTAATTTGAAATCATTTGGATGGAAAAGCAGATAAACCTGTGTTGGCTAGACCCACCCCGGGACACCAGCTACTGCGCATAATAGAAAGGGGTCGTAAAATATGACCCAAAAAAAGTGTTTGATTCAGAGGCCAACAAACAACAATTGAAAGTTTAGGTAATTCTAAAAATACTAGTAATTTGGGCAGACACTTTTGAGAGGGTTTATAATTAATAAATCAACCCCAAAGTTGCTTTTTTTAAATATGATTTGAAGTGTTTGATTCACGCTGAAATTTTAATAGTGTCTTAATTAAATATAAAAAAAATTAATTCCAAAAAGGCACACACTTTTTCCGGGATTTAATTGCCGGCCGACATAAAAATAAGTCTTATTTACTATAGAAAGAGATTTTAAATTCATATTTCGCAGTATAATAAAAAAAAGCATTTATTTAAATGACTTATGTTTAAACTTTTAATCTCTCAAGATTAAAATTAATACAATTAAGTAATAATGATACTTTTGTAGTTTTTAAATCATATTTTTATGTGATTCCATTAAATTACAATGATTTTTTGTAAAGATTTGTAATAAATTGTTATATATTATTATAAGCGATTCCAAACTTTTATCAAGGTGTGCTCGGTGGCGCAGAGCGTACAGTGGTCAACATTTGGACAGTGTGGATAGCAAGTTGGTGGTTCGAGCCCCGAAACTTAGTTTTTTTTTATTTTTTTTTTGTTTTTTGTTTTTTTTTTGTTTTTTTTGTTTTTTTTTTTTCTTAAAAAAAAAAGGAAAAATATTGTTTTATTATTTCAGTCTTGGTAATTTAAAATGTAAAGTTTTTAAAAAGTATATACTTATTCAATGCATAGTGGCGCATAACGAGGTTCATTCATTTTTATGTTGGCCGGCAATTAAACCCTGGAAAAAGTGTCTGCCTTTTTGGAATTAATTTTTTTTTTATATATTAGTTAAGACACTATTAAAATTTCAGCGTGAATCAAACACTTCAAATCATATTTAAAAAAATCAACTTTTGGGTTGATTTATTAATTATAAACCCTCTCAAATGTGTCTGCCCAAATTACTAGTATTTTTAGAATTACCTAATCTTTCAATTGTTATTTGTTGGCCTCTGAATCAAACACTTTTTTTGGGTTTTATTTACGACGCCTTTCTATTATGCGCAGTACCTGGCGTCCCCAGGTGGGTCTAGCCAACACAGGTATATCTGCTTTTCCATCCAAATGATTTCAAATTACAAAATTTCAGCGTGAATCAAACACTTCAAATCATATTTAAAAAAAGCAACTTTGGGGTTGATTTATTAATTATAAACCCTCTCAAAAGTGTCTGCCCAATTACTAGTATTTTTAGAATTACCTAAACTTTCAATTGTTGTTTGTTGGCCTCTGAATCAAACACTTTTTTTGGGTTTTATTTTACGACGCCTTTCTATTATGCGCAGTACCTGGCGTCCCGGGGTGGGTCTAGCCAACACAGGTATATCTGCTTTTCCATCCAAATGATTTCAAATTACAAAATTTCAAAGTGCATCAAACACTTAATGAAATTTGTGTTACTAGCTCTTAGACTATTAGGATTATATTATATTGTACGAGAGCATTGTCTTCATTTTCATTGGAGACCTTCCCTACATCTTGTCTGAAAGTTCTTTGCAATCTTTGTTTTTCTTGCCAGCGCTTCTTAATGTAAAATAAAAAACAGTTTTTCTCCAATTTTAAGCCTCAGTTACATGCTGCAGCATTTTTGGAAATTTATTTGACAATAATTTTTAAGAGCTGTCAAATTTGAATGCAAGGAACGTCTATGATGTAAATTATAAATCACACTATTACATTTTGGGGTTCACATTTCAGTTTCGTCAACTGTACCTACTTAAATAATTGAAAAACCTATCCATGAAAGTTAAGATTAAATCAATTTAATTTCCAAAAGAACAAAATAAATTAGTTCATCTAATAATTACTGCCAAATATCGAATTTGACTGTTTTAGTTGCTCACTCTGTTTTTGTTTGGCTATTATTATTTGCCGTGGCGGTCTGTGGTGACTTAAAAATGATTGATGGTACCATTTGACTTACCAGTGCCCCCCCCCCCCCCCCTCCCACCATTATCTAATTGGCAACGCATGGCGATTTTTTTTATAATCTGGATGTCAACAGAAATTAAATTTCTGCTAATTCGGCATCCATCAAATCCTATAACGAACCATGCAAATTAATTAAAAATTCACACGGTCTGTCATAGGATTCAAAGCTGGTGTGTCTCAACCACAAAATTGCTTGCAAATGAATGAAAGCGCCTAAGACACCTACGCCACTGAGACGACTATCTTTGAGTTGATGTACTCATTCGAATAAAAATATTAACATTAAGTTAGAAATAATATTTTTACAGTTAAACAATGGACGGGCAAAGGGCGTTAGAAATGATGCCCCTTCTTCAGGAACGGCTGGTAGTGTTGACTGGTGGACGGGACCGAAGAGGTGGACCAGTTTTGACATTTCCCGCCAATCCTCGCAGAGAACGAGCCAAACCTGAGGATTATAGAAAAGTTCTGCAGTACCTAATGTCCATACCAAGGTAAGTTTATTAAACCACTTCAATATAGATAATGATAACAATAATTATTACTATTTGGTATTATTATACATATAATCTTGGAATATTATTTTCACTTTTTGTGTTACTCTGAAGATTCTATCCGTCAAGTAGAATTTTAAGATGTGCCAATGTTCTTAGGAAAAGTTTATTTCGAACCATAATTTATCAAAAACTGGAAAAATTGATTTTTTTACCCTTCTTTGAAAATAGCTCGTTTCCATAATATTTATTGGTGTGTCTGCAAAAAGATTTCCGGTGATTTCAGTTTCGGCGGTAAAAACAGCAGGTAATTTTTTTAAACATTACAGCAAGCTACAGAATAGAATATGTTGGTTTGATACAATCTCATTTGGCATTCTAAATAATAATTATCCTATTATGTATTAAATTTCATGCGGTTGAAGCTAGCAGACAAACGCACGGTGGTTCCTTAAAGTTTTGATATTGTTATTCGACAAAATATTTGGTTTAATTGGAATTTAGTGTCATACAAGTTTACAAATAAATAAAAAATAGTGTATTGTCATGAAAATCTTAAAGCCTACCCTGTGTACGCGCGGCCTTCACGTATGTGGCAGCCGACTCATGCTAGAGGCGATGGAATATTCTGGGAATGCCGCTAAGGCTCGAGAAACGGGCAGAAACGGACGGAGTGTGCCGTTGAGTCAGAATTGGAATTCTCTCGACCATCGGGAGTATCTGGTTACAGAGTTGGCTTGATATTAATATCTCGAGTGCGAAGACGGCAGTCAGTTGGTCATAGACAGTTGAATATAGAACATTGTAATGAAAAGTTAAAGTGTAAGAAATAAATTAGAATTATTAGTTAGTGTCTAAGTATTATATAAATTAAATAGTACGTCTGAAATAAATTGTAAATAGTGTGTTTTTAAATAAATAAACTAAAAATAAATTAGACTTTCGTCACATTATAAACTAAAAGTAAATTAGGCTTTCGTCACAGTATTTATTGAAAAAAATGGATTAATTCAATTTGAATTAATATTTGAAACAAGATAATCTTGCAGAAAGACTGTTGAAAGTAAACACATTTAGCATGTGAATCTAAATAAAAATTTTGTACCAAATATTTATTATGTTATTGTTAAGTGATTAAACAAAAAAACTATCCGGGAGAAATTTTTGAAATGCATAATTTTTTCCCTTTTAGAATTTTTCGCCGTCATACGACTATGAGGCCAAAAAAAACAGCACGAGATTACAAATCCAATTTTTTAACCAACTACACTGGTATAATAATAATAATACTAGGGAGAGTATTCACCCCCTTACCAGTGAATTTTAAACCCAAAAGTTGAGCTTGTCTGGTGAAGTGATGTTTGTATATAAATAGGCAAAGACAAAATAGTTCAATGCCATTTTCTCTTCTATTTGCGAACCGATTTTCTTTTTTAAATTTTTGTTTTGTAGCTAATGATGAGCTTTATTTAGCGTCATCAATAAAAAAAATTGGTAATATTTACTATTTTTTTCCCAACCTTTAATATAGGGGATCCATTGATCCACAATTATGAATTATGATTAACTAATAAAATTAGCTTATAGCGAACATGAGCACCCTTTAATTTCAAACCGATATGGAAAATATTACATGGACTCATAGAGGATCGCAAAAAACAAAAAAAATACTTCTTCCCAACCCTCTAACTTCCTTCCTTTTCCTCTGACACGCCTAAATGGTAAGGGATAGAAAAAAACTAATAGAAGGACCATAGGCCTCGCCTGAAATGATTTTAAAACAACATACCTCACCCCACTTCCCCTCACCCCAAGGGAGGTCGATATATAGAACCATTAGACTTAGGAAAATGAACCTCGGACAAAAAAATTCATCCCTCTCACCACCTACTCCCCTCCCTTCTATATACAAAAATATTAAACCATTTTTTTTAGACATACTTTTTGGTTCTGAAGATTTTCTATCCACCCCTCCTACTCCCTCAACCCACGTTGGTATAGAGGAACAAAAGACGTTATCAGAATTTCGTTACTACCTTCCGGCCCCCACAAAAAAGTTGAAAATGGATTAAATAACGAATATTATTGATTGGAACGGTATATTATCTGGACGTTTTTTGGGAGGGATCATTATGATCCCCCGAAGAACAAGTCCACTTCGCCTCCCCCCTAAGTGTAGGGGAATTAATTTTTTTTTTATAATTCGGGTATTTTGAGTTATTGGTTGTACAATTCGAAGAGTAAATCGACTTCCTTTCCCCACCCTTTTTTTTATACCATTTCTGAGCTGTTAATGATTATTTTCGATATGTTTTATGAAGCTGAAGTCGAATATAGCAGAGCGATGGGATTATCCACACGCAACTCTCCTTTTTATGGGCCTCGTAAAGTAACCTTTTGGTACCACATACTTTCCCCCCACCTTTTTTCAAAAGTCGTCAAAAGTGACTTTGGAATGAAATTGACGAATTAATTTTATGCAGGTAATTTATGGGACCAAAGGGCGAACGTTTTGGTACTAAAAGTGTTTCATTATGTTTTCCTCAAATTTTCAATAATGATTATGGTCGAATTTCGACACCACTGGGCGAACAATAGTTATTGTTATTTGTTGTAACGCTCAAATCAAATATGAAGACCTATAAAAAATATAGTTTTTAGATCACGCGTTTCCGTGGATGTTACTCTATCAAAATAGAAAAAATCAATATTTAGCCCGAGATTCCAAATACAATTTTTATACCAACGATTCAGTGCATTAGTATTACATAAATAAATAAAAAATCATTAAATAGCAATACCTCTAAATATATTTTTTAAGTCTTTGACGCTATGATAAATGCCGATTTTTATGTACAGCAAAATTTTCACATTCAATTTTCTATAAAACGGGTACCTTTTTGTGTAAAGAATTAGTTTAGAAGAAGTAGTTTTAAAATTATCTCCAAAAAAATTTATTGCAATTAAACCCCTTATTAACGCTTATAAATACAACCCTTTCCGATTGGACGATTCATTTTTTAAAACCAGCTGATGATTTAGGGACAATTTTCTATTTTGAAAACACAATTTTTCAAACTTGCATTTTCATGAGTACTATTATTGGCGGCGGAATAACTTTTCTTGCTATAGTGCGAGACACACTAAGAATACAGTGCGCTATGCTGGGATCGGCAAAAAACATGCACATTTCGACACGGGGTTTATCTGAAGATTTATATGTTCAATAATAAATAATAAACAATGAATTTCAAAATTATAGATTTGTAAGTTAACATAATAAACAAATTTTATGCAATAGATAAGTCATTGACTCATTGAGGTCGAAATCTCACTCTCAGAACTGTCGCCAAAATTTACTCTTATAATTAATTCATGAACGTTGCCTTGGAGATTATCAGCGAACCACATTTCTTTTTTTTCTCTGACTTGTGCAACGCAATTATGCTAATTTTTCAGTGACATGTTCAAATGCTTCATCTATCAATGAACGAACATCCTGTGTTTCGAAATTAAAGGTTGTTCATAGCAATATAGCGCTTTACCTGATTCCATATCATTTCGATCGGAATAAGATCGCAATGACACGGTGGTAAAACGTAAAACAGTTACCCCGTATTTTGCAACTACCTATTTCCTCAATCTTATATTTGTCTTCAAGCAACTCAGATTTTAAATAGGAGTCGTCAAAGAAAATGTTTTTCGAACAGCCAATGTTTATTTCGGGTTTGTTCCATGAGGTAGCTGGAAAACTAAATTTACGGGAATGTTACGAAGCGTTATCCATAACAACAACGTTATTTCGTCCATTTTTGGGTAAGTCAGGAATCAGCGACTCCCAAAACTATTGCTCAAAATAGTCCGTGTTCTTTTTCTCATGATAATCGTCATCGTTTTTTCGTTTCAAAGAAAACACGCGCGCGTGTTATCACACCGTGCATGGGTTAACCGTTTTGATCCACGTTGACCCAAGTCTCATCTAAATAGATAACGTACAATTCTGTTGGCGATTTGATTGATGGCTCTTAAATATTTGTGCCGCCAATGAATGATGTCGTTTCGTTCTAACATTATACTTTTACGACCAGGCTTCACATATTCAAAATCAATACCTTTCATCAATCTACATAGGGTTCTTAAAGAGAACGATGGTGAATTCTCATTACCTCAAATAATATTATAAATTGCATTCAAAGTTGGCGGAATAAAAAAAACGTACACAATTCCTCCTCTCAATAAGCTCTCAAACCCCTCATCATATGTATGAGTATATTCACGAGAATTTGACTGCTTTATCCGCTTCTTCTTGCAGGAAATTTCAGTTCGCTATTGGTTTGTTCCTCCTCTTTCTTTATGATAAAAATTGTTTTTTACGGACCCCACTTATTTTGTAAGCACGCTGCAGTCACACTCAATTTATCGTCATTGAATAAATAACAAATCCTATTAAAAATCGCAATTAAACTTTTTATGTTGCAGGTAAGATCACAACTGAACTAACCCCAAAAAAGTTTTTGACAATTACGTGCCTTAAATATGCGTATACAATATGAATTTTTAGGCTAGCGCCACATTAGGCATTCAAATGCTAGGCGTTTCAACCGATCTTCAGCTCAAGGTAGCAAGTTAACGAATTGCTCGTAAGAGATTATAGGATTTGTCTGCAGCAGACGTTCTGCTTGCTGAAGTTCGGCGGCTGAATGTCTGCCTAATGTGGCGCTAGCCTTACAAATTTAAAAAAGAAGATATTTCACTTGGATTTTTTGGTTTTTGTGGGTCGGCTATTTTATGTAAAATAAATTTTAGCACTGTTTTGTTAAAGATATTTTATTGCCAGAGGAAGTAGGAAAAAAAATACATATTGTCTTTTCAGTTTATTCTACCATCATAGGTTCCGGTTCAAAATCAGGTGTTCCGCTGAATCCATCCACATTATCGTCGATGTCCGTGCCGGTTATATGTTCATAAAATTGCATGCAATCGTTCGGAATTAAGTGCAT